TTCTCGAATTCTCAAACACGTGGGATGTGGACAAATACATTCATGGTCCCCGAACTGAAAACAACTGGTAGGAATTTCACAGTGATCTGGTTAAGGAAGCACAAAGACAAATGATTACACTGAAGATGAAAATCGCCTTAAAACTCAAATGAAGCCGAACTGGTAAATGATGAGAAGCAAAAGGAACAAAAGTATCAACCAATTAGAAAAGTGGCTCTTTCCCGACTAATAACCAAAAAAAAAAAAACAACAACCCCACCCTTCAGCGATAAACTTAGGGTCCTACTGCTGCAGCAGCCTTTGAGGTAGGTGGCGATGGCTTGAACCGAGGTAGGTAAAGTCCAAACTTGTTCTCAATCCCTGCGAAAGTGGCGACGGCCAGTTTGTACCCGCCCACGTGGTCGGGGTTGGGAGCAGGGAGCGTGATCCGGGACTTGGGCACCGGCTCCGACCCCGCGGGTTTTCTGCAAAATGAGAAGAAACAAGACATTGGTTTCTGCGGAGTCGAAGCAGCGCCGTGCGGCTCCGCGGGGATTTACGAAGCCTTTGCAATGTGCCCTGTGTAATAGCAAGACCTGGGGTGTCAGGGGGACGGGGTCAGGATCTTCTCAGTGGTGCCCAGGGACAGGACAAGAGGGAACGGGCACAAACTGGAACATGGGAAGTTCCATCTCAACATGAGGAAGAACTTCTTTGCTGTGAGGGTGGCAGAGCCCTGGCAGAGGCTGCCCAGAGAGGTGGTGGAGTCTCCTTCTCTGGAGACATTCAAACCCCCCTGGACACGTTCCTGTGGGACCTGCTCTGGGTGACCCTGCTCTGGCAGGGGGTTGGACTGGGTGGTCTCCAGAGGTCCCTTCTGACCCCATATCAATCTGTGACATAACTGAGGAGCCCCAAGACCCACACGGTGCAGCTTCAGGGTTCCAGGCAGATTCAGACACCACATACTTACACTCCCCCGAAGTCCACATAAAACCATCTCTGTAGCAGCTCGTAAGTCACCAGGGTTACACCAAACTGAGGAGAAGACCTAAATACCCGAGCTGGAAAGGAAAGAAGAGTTCCTAAGTGACAAAAACCACAACTGGAAATCACTGAGTAACCAAAGCTCTTTTACGCACCTCCTGCTCCTTTCCACAGAGCCTTGGGCCCTTCCTCTCGAAGGATCTTGGCAAAGCAGTCCACAACGCCGCTGTAGGTGGTCTGTCCCGCCCGGGCTGCCACCTGGAGCCTTGTTTTGATGACATCTGCAGGGGTCACCAGAGATGCCGCCGGCATACCTACACACAACACGAAAACCATCAGGGGGGGACCACCTGCCACACGAGCTACACACCTCATTCACCCCCGGTGACCCTGCCTTCTGTCCTCACACTGGGAGAATCCAGCCAGGTTTGATTTAAGCAGAAGCTGAGAAGAAGAATGAGCAACAAGAAGAAGCTGTTGTGGACGCGGCTTCACCCAGAGAGAACTTCAGGGCCTACAGAGGAGATGGGGAGGGACTCTGGATCAGGGAGGGGAGCCATAGGACGAGGGGGAAGGGTTTGACACTGAAAAAGGGGAGATGGAGCTTAGATGTGGGGCGGAAGTTCTTTGCTGGGAGGGTGGTGAGAGCCTGGCCCAGGTTGGCCAGAGAAGCTGTGGCTGCCCCATCCCTGGAGGGGTTCAAGGCCAGGTTGGAGGGGGCTTGGAGCAACCTGGTGTGGTGGGAGGTGTCCCTGCCCAGGGCAGGGGGTGGAACAAGATCATCTTTCAGGTCCCTTCCAACCCAAACCATTCTGTGGTTCTATGACTCTGTTCCATGGACCATATCCCCGTGTCCTGCAGAGCAGGGAGGCAGGGGCTGGGTTCTTCAGCGCTGACCAGAAACTTGCACAAAGTTTTTGGAAATGAGGTCAATCTTTCCTGATCCTTTTCCTGCCGGTTGGTGGTTCCTGGCACCCTGGTTGGGTGCTGGGCTAGAGTGGCCCGTGCACACTCACACACTCACACACATACATCACTGAGCAGCAGGTAACCTCAGCAAGGCACAAGAACCCAGGTTTGCAAAAAGAGTCATTTTTTCTCCTGAGGAAGGGCCCTGCTCAGCTGCAAAGCCACCGCTGGCATCCTCAGCATGACACTGGGAGGAAGACTTAAATTTACCCTGGCGGATAATCAACCAAAAGCAAAAAAAAAAAAGTACCAAATTGCCAATGGGTGGCATTTCTAAACTCGTTCCTATCCAAACCGGGGCTGCCCATGTTTAGAATTAAAAAAAATAATAAAAAAAAAAACCAGCCAAAAAAAGCGCACTGAGACAGTACCCAGAAGACACTGTCTCTTCTGGTTTTATTACTTTTCCACTCTGCGTCTGTTCCAAACCAACGTGGGCAGATGGAGATGCATAAATCTCCTCTGCTTTTTGGGTTGGGTTTTTTTTTTGGGGGGGAGGCTTAATAATGCTGTGACAACTCTTGTCCAAACCAGCGTGGTCTGGCATCGAGCACCGGGCGCCCTTCCCGCAGCCCTGCTCGGGGGAGGGAAGGGTGTGAGCAGCACCCAAATCACAGCCCCCCTCTCCTCTCCTGGACCCCCCAAAATAAGGCAGAGCCTGCCCTTGCACGGTGCTCAGCCTGGCAGGGTTCCTGAACTCCAGAAAGGCTGAAATTCCTCTCCGCTCACCCTCACCCGCCCCGGGATATGGGTTGAGCCTTCAAATTAAAGCTGGACTTTCGTCCTTCAAAAGCCAACCAATGTTTTCAAGGAAAACCAAAGGACATACTTAGAAACGATTCTGCTTTCCTGCCCAGGGCCCTCCACCTCCTCACTCCTCACTCTTTACTTCTGAGGACGTTAAAGAGGTTTCCAGTCCCGTTTTTAGGAGCTATGTGTGCAAGATAAAAGACTTTACAGTCTTGGACTAGATGATTTCCAGAGGTCCCTTCCAACCCCATTCATTCTATGATTCTACAGACTTGTTAAAAACTTGGAGGTTGCTGCCATGAGGAGCCTACGATGGAAATGAGACACAGGGCACAGCAGGAATGGACAATAAAAAAGAGGAGAGAGGGGAGGAGAAGGAAGTTTCTGGAGGCAATGGGCAGATGGAGCCAATTAAGGAGAAACACCGTAGCTGATATTAGATCATCTCTCCAGAAAATGCCAGGGCAGAACAGGTTGAGACATCTGGAGAGCAGGGAAAGGCAGCAGCAGATGGAGCTGGATGGGATGTGTGTGTGTCCCCAACAACAGGGAAAAGGAAGAAAATAGAATCATAGAACCATAGAATTGTCCAGGTTGGGAGGGACCTTTCAGATCATCAAGTCCAACCATCAGCCTAACTCTGATAAAACCATCACTAACCCATGGCTCTAAGCACTATGTCAACCCATCTTTTTTAAATACCTCCAGGGATGATGATTCAACCACTTCCCTGGGCAGCCCATTCCAAGGCTTCATAACCCTTTCAGTGTAAAAATTGTTCCTAATATCCATCCTAAACCTCCCCTGGTGCAACTTGAGTCCATTTCCTCTTGTCCTAATCTACATTATCTCTAAACCAAGCTTTTCTCCCTAAAGGAGCCCAAAGTACTTTGCTAACGATATCACACACATGGCATTTCTTCTCCCTTCTCCTTTTCCTTTTTTTCTTCACCAGCAAGATCTCACTTTACTGGATGCATTCACTTCTGTGGGTGAAGTGACTGTGAGAAGGCAAATCCTCCTGCCCTTTCTCCTCACTTCAAAAAGCAAACACAAAATATCGCTCTTGATTGCAATATTAAACAAAAGCTAAAATTGGGCTATCAATCACTGGCTTCGATTTTGGGGTTAAAAGATGGAAGGAATCAGAGGGAAAGAGAAAGTTCTCTGGGGAATGGAGGACACCCGTCCCTGGCACCCAGAAAGGAAAGGAACTGCTTATTAGCAGCAGAATAATGGAAATGACATTGCATAAATGTTATTTATTGTCTCCTGTGAGGACAGGCTGAGAGAGTTGGGGGGGTTCAACCTGGAGAAGAGAAGGCTCCGGGGAGACCTTAGAGCCCAGGGGGTGGCACTGCGGGGGCTTTAAGGTCCCTTCCAACCCAAACCATTCTATGATTCTATGATTAAGGAAAACTGAGTATCAGAAACTTTGGACCATCTGTGGGGATTGTGAAATACACTGTCAGGAGACTGAGAGGCAGAGACAGGACCCGTGTCCGAGCCTGGTGGGGTGAACATCCCAGCTCCATGGGCCGTGGGGAGGTGGAGTTCCCCACACCCAGGTGGAGCTCACACACACGTCCCAACCCTCACGATGGGGTGAGACCCTCGGGCAGCACAGAGACATCAAGCCCAGGGACCCAGCCAGCGTTTCCAGAGGTGGTGGGGGCTTTGTCTTGTCTTCCCCCCTGACCACTGTGAGGGTGGTGGAGCACTGGAACAGGTTGCCCAGGGAGGTGGTTGAGGCCCCTTCCCTGGAGATATTCAAGGAGAGGCTCGACGAGGCCCTGGGCAACCTGGTCTAGTTGGGGGTGTCCCTGCTGACTGCGGGGGGTCGGACTAGATGGCCTTTGGAGGTCCCTTCCAGCCTGGGCAATTCTATGATTCTATGATTCTATGACTTCCTCATGGCTAAACCACAGTGGACACACGTGCCCCCACCACGTTCTACTTGAACCCAATAAAAGCAATGCCTTGTTTTTGTAAACAGCACTAACGCTGTAGTTTGCTGATGGGAGTTAACCCAGGATGGGATTCCCAGGAAGCCCTGGATAAAATCCCCATTCCCCCTGGTTTGGTGAGCCCCATCAGCTACAATAAAGGCTGCTTCTGTGCCCCAGCTTCAAAGGGACAGTTATCTCAGTCTGCAATCACCTGACAATGGCCAGAAAGAGAAAAAAAAATAGGAAAATCTAAGAAATGGCTTGGCTTAAAAATGCCAGCTTATGTTTCAAGTCTGTAAATATGATCTAAAGTTCAAAAATTGTTTTGTTCCGTTAAAGTGGGTGAGAAATAAGCTGGCTGGAAGGGGCTGTTGGGGGGCTCGGAGGCTGGTTTGGGGTGGGGAGAAGGGAGAGGACAAGGGGGGGTCTTTATGCACCAGTGATTTGAACACAGCTGGTGTTCCTTGTGCCAGGATGATTTACTTTGGACCATGAGCTACTGAACACAGAGCTCTATGCTTCAACAAGACACACCAATCATCTTAGCTCTATCCAAAGCCCAGATATGGGCTAGAGAAGGTCCTTGCTCCTCAAGAGACATGGCCCCACGTATAATCCTGACCAAGAACAGTTTCCCCAGGGAGAAGAAAGCTTAAAATCAAACAACAAAGCTTAGCCAGACCACCTAGCTCTACTGGCTCCACGCCACCATCATTTTCCACCATCACCCAGGTCCCAGCAGCTCATCGGGGCCATGCTGGAGGAAGGATTCAGCTCAGAAAGACCACATAGACCCTGAGGAACATGATGGAGTTCAACCAAGAGTGTCTCTGCACTTTCCCTCAGGCTCTGACACACTCAAATTCAACACATCTGGGACAAGCTAAGCATGATTTGGCTTCCCACAGGAGCCCAGAGGGAGCACAGACAGGAGGGGCTGGCCAAAGGGGTGTTCCACACCATAGATGTCAGGCTCAGTATAGGAACGGGGGGTGATGGGATCCACGATGGCTGCTCAGGATGGGCTGGGCAGTCGATCGTCGGGTGGTGATAACAACATGTGGTTTGTAACTTTATTTTATATATTTATTATATTTTTAATTATTGTTATTATCAGCATCATCCTCCTCTTCCATTACTGTTCTATTAAACTGTCCCATCCCATCGTCATTATCATCCTCCTCTTTTGTTACTGTTCCATTAAACTGACTTTATCCCAACCCATGAGTGGGTTCTGTTGCTGTTTTTTGGTTGTTCCCCCCCGTTTCCTCCCTGCTGCGGGGGGAGCGAGCGAGCAGCTGCATGGTCCCAGTCGCTGGCTGGGGTTAAACCACAACAGACTCCAGATACCAAAATTCAAGATTTTCCTTTGATGGTGAAGGATTTCACGAATGCCACCATATTATTTATAAACCATTTCAACAAAACGTTACCAGTCAGTCAGCCACAGCCCAAACCAGCACAGGACCTCCACCAGCAATGATGACAGAGGGTAAAAAACCATCAGCACCTAAATCTTTCCCTTTCCTTTGCCTTCTGAACATTGTGATTACACCAGGAACTTACGGTATATTTAATTTTTAACATCAACTCTCTCTACAGCACGGCGGCTTTTGCTTATTTGGGCGTAAGGTTGCAAAATATGGTATAGCTGCATATAGTTCTTCTATGCATACAGCTCTTCTTTTCAGAAATGCCACAAAAAAAAGGAATTTGGGCACTTACCAGCGATTGATCCTGCCAGGAGCAGGTTCCCAGGGCTCACCCTCCCGTCTTCATTCGCGAAGGAAGCTTTCAAATGAGCGTAGCAGGGGAAGTAAATGGCAGAGAAGGGGATGTCACGCAAAAAACAGGCCTTAGCACCCTGTGTGGAAAAAGAGAACAAGTTTGGAGAACGAGCAGATTTAACAGGATGAACTATGGACGTCAGAGAACAGAGCAACGCTGTGGGTTTTCTGTTTGGTTGCAAAGGGCTTATAGAAAAAAGCAATTTCTCCCCTCAAAAATTTGAGAGATCCATGTATTTCCCCCTGCTGAGGAGCACCCGTGTGTTGTTTCTCGGTTCAGTAATTTCTGTCACTGCATTTATCGCCTCTGCTCGTCCTCCCTCCCTCCCTGGTGCTGGAGTTATTTGCTGGTAACAGAGAAAATGTTACATGTTGGAGTAAACCCTGATAACACCTGGGCTGAGCTTTAAGTCGTTGATATGGTGGCCACATACCTGTAGCAGGAGTTTAGGACATGTCTGAAGAAGCCCAAGCCATGGGACAGGACTGTCCCCTCTTGTTCCCCCTCACAATAAATACTCCAGAGAAAGCACTGCCCAGTCCATCCATCCATGTAGATGTTGCAATTAATAACACAACATAAATCCAGGCAAAGAAAGAGAGCAGGGCCCCAACACAGACTCCCTTGCAGAACAGTAACAGGATGGTTTACACGTGAAGTAAATACACAATTAAATTTGCCTGGCCATCCATTTTTTAAGGGGTAAAGCCAGCCAACACCATCACCAGCAACACTGGCCTCAAACCTAAGTGGGTGGCAACAGGCAAGGGAAGTTTTGGGGTAGAAACAAGCAATCGCCTGGTTTTCAAGGGGAAAAGCAAAAGAGCCACTAGGGAAAGTCAACCAAAATAAAACCCCAAAATAATATCCACGTTCCAACAGCAAAAGGGACTTGCAGTCGGGTCCAGAAGGCAGTCGGTGTAGTGCTCCAGCCCCAGCTGATTTCCACCTTAATTCTCAGCTTATTTCTTGACATTTTCAGGCTGAGAAGCGACTGCTTCCCCTGACAGTCCCTTCGGAGGTTAACGACTCCTGCCATGGAGATGCTTTGACTTGTTGCTTGGCTGGATTGTGCCTGTTCCCTCTTGTCCTGTCCCTGGGCACCACTGGAAAAAGCCTGGCCCCATCCTCCTGACACCCACCCTTTCAGTATTTATAGGTGTTGATCAGATCCCCCCTCAGCCTTCTCTTCTCCAGGGTAAACAGCCCCAAGTCCCTCAGCCTTTCCTCATCAGAGAGATGCTCCAGGCCCCTCATCATCTTTATAGCCCTTTATGTCCCCTCTCCAGCAGTCCCCTCTCCTTCTTGAACTGGGGAGCCCAGAACTGGACCCAGTGCTCCAGATGGGGCCTCCCCAGGGCAGAGCAGAGGGGGAGGATGACCTCCCTCCACCTGCTGCTCACACTCTTCCTGATGCCCCCCAGGATGCCGCTGGCCGCCTTCTCCGCCAGGGCCCATTGCTGGCTCATGGGCATCCTCTTGTCCACCAGGACTCCCAGGTCTTTTTCCTCAGAGCTGCTCTCCAGCAGGTCACCCCCCAAATTTTGGCCTCTCCTGAACAATGGAAACCCATTTTACACTTTACCTTTTATCTGAAGGTGAAAAGAAAGGACTCAGGCTTTTATCAAGTTGTGGATGAAACCCCAGCTTTTTAACGATCCAAGGTCTGCACTGCATTTACCTCACAGCAACGTTACGAAACTCACTGAGGAAACCCTCACAGCCCAACGTGGTCTCTCCAGAGATTTACGTTCAGAGCATGCTGTTCCTCAGAGCACATCTCGCCGCCTCTGCCCTGGGGACACATTACAGGTATTTTCTTGGCCATGGTGGCATTCAACACCACGCACATTTTTTCCTCCGCGTTTGTTTTCATACTCTGAAATACCTTGACATAGTTAAAATAACTTAAGGAAATCAATAAACTCCAAAGGCGAGCAACTCTTAACTCGGCCCGAGCCGCTCATATTCCTCCCCTTTCCTTTAAATTCATGGGGCAGAAACGGTGTATCGTTAATATCACTAATAATATAGGTTCAGGTATGCAGAGAGGGAGGGATGTCCATCCATTTAGTTGGCTCAGTGTAAACCAAACCTGGATTAAAACTTGGATCCCCTTTAATAATAATAACCCAGCTTGGCCCTGGTCCAGTAACGCAACAGTCTAAAGTTCCCCCCCCCCCCTCCTCCTCTGGTCCCATTTTAAAAGTCTGGGAAAAGCATGTTTAAAAGCAAGGCCTCATTTAACTTCAAGTTAATCATCCGCAACCGGCCTCCTCGGCCAATTAGGAAGGCTTAGGGAGATCGGCCACAGTATCTTGAAAAGGAAAAAAAAAAAAAAAATAAAGAAACATTTATTTTCCTCCTCGCACCTTTTTGATGTGGACAAGGTGCTGAAAGCCAAAAGGGAGTTTTAATGGATCCTAAGGGATCAGCCGCCCCCGTTTCTTCTGGCAGCCAAGGGGAGGACCTGCCAGGCATGAAATTGTCGGGAGATCCTCCACACCACGCCATGCGCCAGTTGGCTCCATCTTCAACCCCTGTAATAACCTTAAAGCTCTTAATCTCGGGTAGTATCTCACTGAATAGACCCAGGGAGGGGAAAAAAACAACCAAACCCAACCCAACCCCTCCTCGACTGTCAAGGATGGGGATAAATAAGCGCAAGTCAGCGCAGGGGCAGGTTCTTTAACATGCTAATTCCTGCTTATACCAGCTCTACCTGCGAATAAGGCTCTAAACAAACTATTTCTACTACAAGGGGAGGGTAATTAGAGTGACAAAGGCACCTCTGTGTCGGGCCGGGCAGAAGGAGCCGGCAGGTCTGGGAGACGGTGGCTTAACCCAGTCTCCTGCAGTGAATGCACATTGTCTGGGGCTGGGGGAAAAATGCCAGACTGGGGGGGACCCAGCAGCACTGGAGACAACAGAGGTGCACCTTGTCTGCCAGGGTTATTTAATGCTCCTGGCACCTGTACTTACAGCCACCCCCCTGCCCCCCCCCCCCTTTTCTCCTCCTCCTTTACAGGTTTAGAATTTATTTGGCATGTATAATTGTTATTTTGATCCTATAGCTACAAACAATAGGCAGCATGTCATTTCTTGATCATTTTGCATTCTTCTTGGGTTTTACTACAGACTTAACCCTTTTGGAATCGCAGCCCCCACAGCACCCAACGGGTCTGGTAACACTCTGTCAAATATTACCAGTATTTCCTTTCCAGGGCTGTAATTTTTTCTACTGTAAAATAACATTGCCTTTAAAACTGCTATAGGTTTTCATTCACATATATTGATACCAGCCCGTACATGAAAACAAATTAGCACATCAAGTGAGAGGAATAAAACCCCGATTTCAAATGCGGTGCCAGCAATTTAGATTCAGTTTGCAGATTAAAAAAAAAATAGCACTTACTTATTAGGAGAAAGAGCTTTTTTTTTTTTTTTCTTCTTATTTTAAAAGAAAAATTTCTGAAGAGCAGGTTCTCCCGTAGGAGAACACAGTCACAAATGGGCACGGAGGATGCAAATTAATGTAACAACTCACAACTTTTACTGCTCCGTTTTGTAATAGTAAAAGTTTTTTATCATCCCACTGCAAAGCCACAGCTTCAGGAGGTGAAACACCCTGGGCTGTTATCAAAGCTCCCAGGCAGGAGCTCAGCACTCATCCTGTCAACCCCCATTACACTTTCCAGATCAACACACCACAAACCCATTTATGAAGTTGTCCAAAAAAAAAAAAAAAAAAAAAAA